AAACAGATAGTTAAATCCAGATATTGTATGACACATAATCATTTCCTAACTATTTTGCAGTACGAATATTTCAAGATTTAATTTTAATAAAATATCCATTTGAGCTTCTTTAAAATACTCTATTTTCATCTTTATATATATTGAAGCTATCGACAATGCTGATAATCAAAGGAAAACGTGTAATAAGAAGACGACAGCCAAACTATAAACAATGCCACAGCAATATTTACTCTTGTACCGTCTCTGCTTTAATAATACTTTTCCGATGGTGATTGCGGATGCCATCCACATTTGTATTTAGAACATAAATCATTATTGGAAATGAATTGATCAAAATATTTTAGTTATTACACTAGATATATAAACACATATATAGATCTATAAATCAATGAGCATCATGTTAAAAAAAAGCAATCTCTAATTCACTTTTATGTGAGTATAAGATTTTACACTCTAAACATCTTCTTCCATGTTTTTTATCATTTCGTCTAGCTTCGTATCACCAAGAACGGTACTATTGATGAATCAGCTTAAATCAACATCTTTAACACAATATTTACAATATAAACTCTCCCAAGGATAAAAATATAATCCTTATTCAATTGTTTCTTTTTCTTCTCTCTCTTTTATGTGATTGTATATGACCTTCTATGTCATTATATGACTAAAAAAAGTAAATTATATTTGTATAAACATGCTATATTTTAAAATATCAAATAAAAATTTAAAAAAGAGCTAAAATCTTTTATTTTTCCACATAATTCATAACACGTAATATTCCGGTATCTATTTCATAGGCACCATCATCAGACAAAGAACCATCAGCATAAACTATTCATACATCTGTATCAAATTTATTATAACCTAATATACTGTGTGTAAGATAATGCATTAGCACATTAAAAGAATAATAAATTAACTCATTAAAAGAAATAAATGAATCAACCTAAAATAAAGACATCCATTTCATTCCTGTATTTGTATCATATTATAGATAAAATAATTCTTTTGTCCTTTAATATCATCTATATTCATGCACGTGGAAAAAAGTGCTGTATCATTACATTTTTTGTCTTTCTTATTGTCTATCTCACAAGGTATTGCTATTGTATGTTTGATTGATGCAATTTTCAGTATTCTTGACAGTTTGAATGATCATTTATCTCATTATCTAACCATTTCAAAATGTAATCAACAAAAAAAGAAATAATGCTATTATAATAACTAATCATCAATTGCTGAAAATAAGGTATTTGTTTTGCACCATAGATTGTTAGGTGAAGGCCTATTGAGATGTATTTTTCAATCCACTAAATTTTCTTTAATATTTTAAATTTATTTTTGCGTATACAAGTTATTTAATTTTAACAAAATTAGGAAAAAATTGTACAAAAATACATAAGATGAACTTACTAGCATTTCCTACAATAAATAATGATAAGCTTATGCGATGAGAATGATAAAATAATTTGCAAAGAGTCAATTTTTTTCTTCAAATAAATATTCGTGAAAATATTTGATTGTTACCCGACGAGATATCAAGTTCACCTTTAGAAATTTGAATTTCCGTCCTAACATTTGATTAGCATATGAGTGTCGTATTTTTGCCAGTACTTTAAACAAACCCTAAATTAGAAGAAAATTAAATAAAGATGAAAAAAGTGTTTGATTTTCTATCAAACATACCGTATCTTCACCAAATATTTTATCAAGTGGTGAATATTTATTTGTGGCGCTAAATATTATTCGATCAAATTCAAGTACTATTTGATAAAAACTCATATCATAAGTTTTAACTGCATCATGTTGTTTCTTTGTATATCGGATTTCAGCAACCTTTTTAAAAGCTTTATCAAAGCTTTTAATCATAAAATTTAGTGAAAATTCTTTTTCTCGATTGAGATGTTGTTGAACTTATTAAAAAATTATCCAACGGTCGATGGATCATTTGATCAATTGATGCAGTAGTAAGTTGTGAACGATTTGTATTCGATAGAGACAATATCAGTTTGTCTTGCAAATCAACATCATAATGTTCACTATCCATATTTGAAATGATTAAAATATGATAAATTATTGGATTGATATGAGTGAAGTTATTGTATAAGCATATCAGATTGTTTTTCATTTAATGTCACAGTTGTATTAAAATGGAAAAATAGGGCATAATCAGTAAGTTGTATAAATGAATAAACACTTACTTATTATTTCAACAAACACTTTATCTGTATTAATAGATAATAAATCTTCTGTAGATGAAGAACTCAACTTTAATAACGATAAAAAATCAAACATCTAAAGGACTAACTTCACAGAACCACAAATTTTGTTTAAATGGTACCGTATCGTAACAATTAACAATTAATCTCCATTATTTTCCAATATTAATAATGTATTTAATTTCCACAGATAATAATACTTCTTCTCCACATAATAAATAGAAAACAAAAAATCATCAATATTCTATTTAACATTGTATAGAGTTATCATAACTGAATAAATAGTCATTAGATAACGCATTTTGCATCATTTTTTAAACTTTGTTGTTCATCATGTACGAGACTTACCATTAATACCATTAGCTTTTGATACATTTTCGTCCATTAGTCCCATCAACATTTATAAAACAAATTGTACATTACTGTATACGATCCACAGACATTCACAAGATCATCAAAAATGCAAAATTGAATAAATAAATTATCGATTGATAGAATGCTCATAATCCTAAGAAAATATGAACAAAAGATATTCCATCGAATTCAAACACGATAATACGACGACGAAGATGACAAAAATGAAATCGAAATGAACAAGAGGAAAATAAAAGATCAATGTACCAAATACAATCATACAAAAGTAGAAATATTGAAGATAGAATGAAATAGATAAATAAATAGCTAATGGATAAAAAGAACTATTGACACTTTCATAATACGTATATGAGTCTTCTTTTTGAGAGAACAAAGGTTATAAATATTTGAAGAACAGGCAAGTGTAATACAACAATTATAAATCTTTCTATGCTATATATTTAGATCGAGATGCGTCAAGTCATTCTTCTGTTGATATCAAAAAGAGATCGTTAACAGACATGAATAATGACGTCATCATTGTTTTGACAGAGCAATTATATTAATCTTGAACACTCTTGTTTCTTTTATAGCGTTTTTAATGTTTTCATATTAATAATATATAAAAACTAAATTATAATATATATACAAATCCACTCTGTGATTTATTTCATTTAAGTGGCGCAGTAAAACGTACAAGAGTCATTAAATTTAGAAGTAAAACATCTTTGCATTTGATCATAATATGAAATTTGTGATCAATAAGATTAATTGATCTTCTAAAATAGTTTTAAGAAACATGTAATTAATTCAATAATTTTCTTCAAATTTGAAATTGGTTTTCGAATTTTCTTTGCAACCAGTATTGATTTTTCAATTTTTAGAAAATCAATTTTTTTGACAATCAAATTGACTTTCTATAATTTGGGAGATCGACCATTTTTTTAATATTTTAAATTCGAAGAGTCAGTAATGAAAGTTTCATAATAATGTAGCTTTGTTAAAGTCTAATTTATAAAAAATAGAATTTAAAAATAATTTACAATGCATGTATATGGAAAAAACATGTGCTGCATCATCACATGTTTTTTTTTCTTTCTCACTGCTTATCTCACAAGGTATTGCTATTGCGCATTTGATTGATACAATTTGCATTTTTCTTGATAATTTTAATAATCATTTATCTCATTATCTTAGCATTTCAAACTGTAATCAACGAAGAGAGAAATTAACTATCCTTTAAAAACTGGCTGTTCAAAAATGTCCTCCACGCTGTAAGGTTGAAAATATTTTATAGCGAAAGAAAAAAAGACTATAGGAATGTTTATACCACTTCATCTATGAATTTTGTACTTCCTTGAAAATACAACACTCAAGAAAATAGAAATAAGAAATTTGATTTTCTAATTAGAAAATTGAAAACGAATTTGTATCAGCTTTTCTTGAGTCTCACGTTGAACTTATCTATTGAAGCGTTTTTGAAACATTGGAACATCAGTTTCCATTTTATAGCTATTTCTTTTTTATGTAGTCTATTTCATTTTCAAAATATATAAAGCCCAAAAAATAACTACAATCTGATTATACAAAAACAGTTAAAAGACGAATAACAATAGAAATAAAAAAATAAGTTAATTTTTAACAAAAACAAGTAACTGCGCAAAAATGCACAAAATAATTTATCCTGATATGTTTATTGCATCATTGAATAAGGATCAATTGTTTTCTATAATAAACAATGATAAGGTCAAGCAATAAAAATCATATAATAATTTAAAAATAATCAATAGGTTACTTTCCTGATTTAATCACAGTTTTTCTGAGTGTTTTTAATGTTTTATACTTAAATGGTCTAATATGAAAATGATTGCTCTTTGAAAATGAAGAGATTATTATAGAAAGATTAATAAAATGTATTATCTTCAGTAATACTTTTTTTTTTCTTTGATGATTCGAATATTTGACTAATTTTGTATAACTAGATTTTAATGCTTGAATACTGTCTTCAGTAAATGGATCAAAATGAAGATTGTTTTCACGAATCAGCTATTCATAGAAAAAACAAAATAAAATAAATGTATATATGTGATATTGAGATTGTACCAATTTCTTTGAACGAAAGATTCAAAATCAGCAACATGTCAATGAATTATTAGTCGATCAAAAAGAATACATGCTCTAAGACTTACCGAACTGGTCACTGATAAAGTTGGATATAATTAGGCAATTCTTTTGGTTGGTTTCAGCTCTTCAATAACACGTTGATGATGTACATATGTAGCAGTGATGGAATCGGTTGGTGTTTTCCTTGAACCGAACCGAACCGAATAGAATAAAATTCAAATATATTAAGACTCTTGGCAAGTTATTGTATGAATGATTGAAAAGAATACCATTCACTGTATCTTATGATGATTTTGAGTACTTTTATGTAATAATGTTACCAGTAAAACTGAACTCGCGCTCAACAGCTGCCCTGGTAGCTAGTACAGTTAAAACACGAGTAGCAACCATCGCCACAATAGGATAAGAAACGTGTTTCATCTTCCAAAATGATAATCGATTATATTCTTCATTTTCTTGACTAGAATTCGTTAGTGATGTCATTTTATCTGCACCATGCTTAAAATGCAAATCAATTTCGAGCGTATGTGATGAAGTTTTTGACGAACCGTATTGATCAGCATAATCTTCGTCATCAATTTCTAGATTAAAGTAAAAATCTGTCCTATATATAAATGAGATATTTGTTGATAATGAAACTGGTTTCTGGTTTGGAGATGATTTAACATGCTGATCAACATCAAAAAGCTACATTTCTGATTTTACATATTCAATACATTCTGCCCTTTGTCTTGTTGACGAATTCTTCATTCTTCGTGTTTTAGGATTGAAGAAAGTTCCAATGAGATGTATGGTATCGAAAGAAATCATTTCTTGGATTACTTGTTTTGCTCGTTGGCAGAAATAAACCGATGCCTGTGAAAAAAAATTATTTAGGCAAAGTACATAAAGAAAAATTGAAATCATAAACCTTTTTCTTATTTATAATCATTTGACCTTATTTCTAATGAGGAATTTATTACAAATATACTTGGTGCTACCGTATGTATTGATGATACTCGCGATGATTGAGTACGTTTCATTACATGAGTCCATGGTCTTAAAAAATCAATTATTTTATGGAACATAAATGAACTTATTAATTCTTTTCTTGTTAAAATTTTTTTCATTAAATATTTTAAGTAATGGATTTAAGGATTTTTGGACACTTTCCACAAAGTTATATAAAGAAAGCCATCTGACAATTGTATTTTGGATCAGAACAGCAGCCTCTAGTTCTTCGAGTTCTTAACTGAAATTGACCTAAAAAAAATTACATTTTTTATTGACTCCTTTTCTGTAAAAAAAAAACAGACATCATACAGAACCTATTCAATGGATATCATTTTATGAATCTTTTAAAGGATCTAGATTTTTGAATTAGAATCTTTTTTCCTAAAAGTTTCACAGAAAAAAAAGTTCTAGTCGAAAAGTCTAGAACCCTTAAGAGATTCTTAAAATGGTACCCATTGAAAAGGTTCTATCTAGTAAGAATTTTGTAAAAATGTTCACATGTTCTATTTTCTCTGAGTCAGTAATAAAAGGTCTTGATATTGAATTTATCTAATTTATATTTCAGCAACTTTTTGCACTAAATAATAGTTACTAAAACATGTTTTGCATCTGATGGTAATCGATCAAGAATAGTGATAACATTGTTTCGGCTTGATGTTGTAGAGGAATAACTAACAGATATGATTTTCTTATCAACTAATTTCTTCATCACCGTAAGAGCTATCATCTTCTTCGCTGTTACTTCCATTAATTTGATTATATTCATTCTCAATTGAATCAATATAATAATCCTCAAATGCTGTATCTTTTTCTGCTTTATTTATTTCGGCTTGATAGAATGTCCTCTTCAAATTACTTCTTCTATCACATATCAAAACTATATCAAATATAAATGGTTGCAAACAATCGGGGGGACAATCACTTTTCAATCACCTAGATAATTATGTGGAAATCAAATTTAATTTGTAGTAAATGACAAACTTACTTGAATTAGATTTGCCACAGTTTTACTAGACTTGCTGTACACTGTAAACTAGAAAATAAGTTATAGAGTTTAGTGAAAGATATTCTAGGAATGCCCATATGAATTCATCAATGAATTTTAAATTCTTTGAAAATGAGATATTTGAAACATTCAGAATAAGAAATTTGATTTTCTAATTAGAAAATCGCAAGTGAATTCATATAGGCATTCCTAGAATTTCGGATTCTATTCAGCAATTCGAGTATTTTTTAAAAACTTGAAAATCGAATTTTATTTTCATATATGAACGTAAAATTCATATAATAACAAATAAATAATTTTAATTGAAATTGAAATAATATTCTAAATAATTAAGTCATATAAATGCACCAAATAATATGAATAAATAATTTGAATTTAAATTGAACAATATTTTAAACATTTAATTCACATAAATGCATCAAAATAACATAAATAAATAATTTGAATTTGAATTTAAATAATATTATAGACATGTAATTCATAAAAATGCATCAAATAACAAATAAATAATTTTAATTTAAATACATACTAAATGAACTGACTTACAGAGCAACTTCAAAAAATACAAGTTATCAACTCACTAGTTAGCTGCTAAACAATATAATGAATGAAAAACATTATCGGCCGGCTTATATACGTGAATTAATAATGGTTCGATAGCGATCATTGCTCAGATGATTTTTTTCAAATCAGCATTGATTTTCGAGTTTTATTAAAATCAATGTTGATGTTTTACTTTGTAGAAAATGATTTCTTTCGAAAATCAAATTCAAGCTCTGTAAATTGGAAAATCAAGCATTTTTGAAGTATTGAAAATTTGTCGAATGAACCATAAAACCTCAAAAATACTCCAGCTTATTTAAAATCGATTTTCCAAATAGTAGAATTTTAAAAAAATTTACAGTGTACGATAAACAAGCGTTGTTTTTCTCCACACGGTTTGCTATTCGTCTATACAAATTTCTAATCAGAAAAATATTAAAACTATCTTTATAGCAAACGACATCTGATTGTAACCTGAATATTTCTTTTGATGTTGTTTTCTTTAATATAAAAAAAAGAATCCACAAAACGAAAATAACCATAGCGGGTATAAACGATTACGAACCAAATCGAACTGATTCCATCTCTGATATGTAATATCTATTTTAACTTTAACTTGATCATGATCATAATTTGTTGTATTAATTAAAACACGCATCAAATCGGCTTATTGATATAATTGCATTAAGAATCTTTTTAACTGGTTTTTTCTTTAAATACATATTCCTAAAAAAATTCAGAGAACATAACATAATAGCTTGATTCTTATTCGACGAAATACATAGTCAATCTTCATCAATTTCAATTTTCGTCTTGACATTTGATGATCAAATGATTGCCTTTGTTTCACCAATACTTGTCGATCACGAGAGACTTGTTGTTTTAACACTCATGCTAAAAAAACCTCTAAATGAACAAAAAAAAATAAGTAAAGATGAAAAAAATATTCGATCTTCTATCAAACGTATCAGATCTTCACTAAATATTATACCAAATACTAGATATTTCGGCATAAGTATACTTTACGTAAACACCTTTCTTTTTGCAACATTTCTACTTCTAGGATTTTATTATACGCAGAAAACGATAGAACAACTAAAAGAAATAGGCCGCCATTTATCAGGACATCATTTTAGACCATTGAAAAGTTTCAAAAGTGTTTGGTCCCCTTACCTAATTTTTGAATCAAATTTTGTTTCGTTTCAACAATTTCGTCCTAATTCAAATTGTTCTTTTGCTTAAAAAGAGTTTTCTTAGTTTTTTCATATTTGATTATTCCTGAAGATAAACCGCTCAATATTCGATCAATTCTCGATGTGTGTAAAGAAAAGGAAGCTCTCGTCTGACAATTACAACAATGGAATCTAATTGCTGAGGAGTCAAACTATATGTGCCCTGAATGTTCTAGTTCGCTTCGACTTGATGCGGTGGAGTTGCCACAGTTGGTTTGAAACTGAGGGGTGAAATTGGAAAAAAAAAGCGGGAGAACAAGAGATGCACTTATCAAGCACGATTTCGCAAAGGAACGTTCTTCGCTAGATCTCACTTATCCATTTGGCAAATATTGGTCTTCGTGAATTTGTGGGTTATGAACGTTGGTTTGAATATTATTGGTAACCAATAATTGCATGTCTGATTCGTTTGTTTTGCGTAATTTAACTGTTTGTACTTTAGAATTGCAAGCAGAGATCTCCCAAAAGGTTGCTGTGAATTGGACTTCTTTTTGCCGGGAAGTGATTTACGATGCTTTTATTCTTAAAAAGCGAAAGTTAGGTGGCCATGGAGTTGAAGTGAAAATTGATGGATCCAAATTCGGACGCAGGAAGTATTACAAAGATCACCGAGTCGAAGGCTAATGGGTGTTTGGAATGTTTGAACGAGGAACCGACCGTGTTGTGATGAATCCAGTTGAGAAAAGGTTTGTTTTATTTTGAGAGATAAATTAGTACGAATTAAAAGTTTTAGTATATTAATCTGATATTAAGTTGTTAACATTTTAGAGATACAGTCACATTGACTCCTATAATCAAGGATTGGATCCTCCCAGAAACTACTATCATCTTCGATTGTTGAGACTCGTACGAGAGTTTGGGAGATGAGAGCTATAAACATCTGAAGATTAACCATTCGGTCACTTTCAAGGATTCTGAAACTGGTGCATGTACCAAGTCCATCGAAAGCTCCTAGAGACATGCAAAAATCGTCATGGTACAATATCATCGCAAAAAGGACTCCTTCCCATCTCATTTGGTCAAATACATGTTCATGAAGCTTTGTCGTACGTTGGATTTGGATCCTACTGTTGAGTTTCTTCGAATGGCCGGTTAGGTATACGACCCGACTCGCAATGAAGCACAGTAGGTCTTGAAGGACTATGAAATTGAGAATGAAGAAGCAGAGGATAATGATTTCAATTGATAATCTTTTCGGATGTGTATGTTAGGGTGTGGGTGTGGATGTTGTTCTCGTCTTCAACCCATACTCACACCCACAACTACGAATTCTCATTGAATGTCGTCTTTCTTTTTTAAATTTCTGTTCTATGTCCTATCACATTGATTTTTTTTATTGTGTGCATTTGGTTTTTCATTTGTTTCTGAGGATTTTTTCTTCAAGTATATCTCTTTATCTGAGTCTCCCTTTATCATATCTTCTAAGGTCGATAATAAACTCTTTCACTAGCATGCAATGCATGAGTCTGTTCCTTTTGTTGTCATTGATGATGATTTGAATCATGATGGATAATCAGAAATTGTTGTTGCATATCATACTAGAACTTTCACAATTCAATCGATGTATTTTTTGAGAGTTATCTGAATATACTAATAGTAACTTTTTGATGGCTACCTAGAAGCAGTTCACTCGTCTTTATTCTAGATAAAATGGTATTTTTCGTTGATATGTTCGTAGTGATGATGCATACGTTACACTACAGAATATCTCGAGCGCATGTACACTTCTACCTCGTAGAAAGGACAAAGAGGTGTGTTGTCATCGTTACGACTTAAAATAAAATATAAAATATTAGTAACTAAGAGGCTGTATATGATTGACTAATGATAAAAATGACTATAAATACTTACAAAAAACATTTTACTGCTGATAAAAATATTCTGTCAGCTCGTCTTGCTGATTCTACCTTCAATGTAAGCATTCCTTCTCGTAATAATTCGAAAAAAAAAAACATTTCCATCCTATGTTAAAGTGATCAAAGTCGATTATTGAAATAAAAATGCATTGACTAAACCTCTTGTTGGTCAAGATATGGTAATTTCGACTGTGGATGGAGAAGGATTATTCAATAGTTTTGGTACAACTTTAGTTGAATCTGCAACTGATGTAGACATCAAATGGTTTATTCCATCTGAATTTGGTGCGGATTATGATCCTATTTGCACAAGTATTCCACTAGGTGTGGTTGGGCTGTGGATTTGATCTAAGATTTTCAGAATAATTGCACGCGCAAGCGCGCTCACGCCCACACTCTCACTGTAGACTTTAGTTAACAGAAGGAGATACTTTAAAAGAATACACAAAATTATTGATATGTCTATCTCGAATTACGAGCATGTAAAACACATCCAAAATGTCTTCACCTGCCCAAAGCAGGTGTCACCAAAATTTGCATTGTTAATTGTGTAATAGCAATAACTCGAATTACATAGTGTACGACATGTAGATGAAGCATTCATAGAGAGACAATTTGCCGAAACTGTCGATCCACCACATCCAGGAATGGCACTATTAATACCATAGAAACACGCAGCAACTGTAAGAATTTTTCCTGTTGCGCTGGAAACATTAAGTGCATCATTTTCGTGACCATACAAAGTATTGTTAAATCCACCACCTGTGAAGATAAAAGTTAATATTTTTTTTCAAATGAATAACATTTGAGATAGCCTTCAGTGGACTACTCACCTCAAGAGGTTGTGCTCGCCGGACTCAGCAGCAGACATTGATCACTTGTAATTGTCGAGTTACAGCATGTTCCTTGGTAATGAGCAATTCAAAATACATGTAGGACATTTTTAGCTGTACTTGTAACTAGACATGCACTTTATAGATAGTTTCTGAATAGATTCGAATCACTATTCCAATAACAGCTCGACGGTGAATTACAAGAACCATAATCACAATTATAATTACAATTAGGACATAAAGCTAAAAGAACACAAACAGGAAGAAGAAATGGCTTGTCTGATTGTATTCTAGCAGTCAGATATAAACTCACGAGTTTGACAATAACTTCCTAGAGAGATAAAAGAAAAAGAATTTTAATGGCTATCAAGTTTAAGTTTTGTCTATCTTCCAGACATGCCCACACACCTGTCCAAGAGCTCGAAGCGCATGAAAAAGTACTTGTACTCGTCGATATACTGTACGTACATGTACCACCGTTTAAGCAGGTCGTTGAAAAGAAACCGGCCACAAGACAGAGCGGGATTTGAGAGTATGTGCCCGTTCTATAGTTATTACATGCACATGAACTGTTCGAAAGGAAAGTGCCTTTAAGAAATAATAGAAAGAGAAGTCATTTTTTGTATGGATTACAGGATTTACTGCCGTTGTAAACATTTATTCAGAAATACATTTTTTTTCTTTATTTTTCTTTTTAGTAAATTATATGATTAAGTTAGATAAATAAAATGATCACAATCGATTTTTTTTCTATTCTCTATGTCAAAGGTTCATGAAAATGCATGTAAACCTAACTATATTTCGTAAATAAATTCATCAATTGAAAGGAAAAAATTCTATTCTCTAGCTCAAACGTTTATTTTTTATCTCAAAGGTTCGTGAAAATGCATTTAAATCTAACCATAGTTCGTAATTAATTTCACGAATTGAAAAGAAAAAATTCTATTCTCTACCCAGGTCGAGCGTTACGGACTCCGTAAACGACCGTTTACGACATCGTATACAACCGTATACATACCATATACGCTCCGTATACGACCGTATTTCACCGTATTACATGATCTAGTATTACGATCGTATATTTCCGTGATCGTATACGGCGAAATACGGAGAAAAACGGAGGTCATATACGGAGCATATACGGCCGTAAACGACCGTATTTTTTCCGTATACGGTCGTAAACGATCGTGTTTTGCCGTGTGTGTGGGAAAAATATTGACCTTTTTACCTTTAATTACACGTACATCAGTGATATTATCACTAGAACATATACCTACCTATCTATCTACCTACCTATCTATTTATCTACCTACCTATCTGACTATCCATCTACCTATCTATCTATCTACTTACCTATCTATCTACTTACGTATCTATCGATCTACCTAACTATCTATTTATCTAACTATCCATCCACGTAACTACCTATCTGCCTGTCTATTTAACTATTTACCTAACTATCTATCTTACTGTCTATCTAACTATCTATGTATTTCTCAATCTACCTACCTAAAGGGTGATCCAAAAGTTTTGGTACTTCACAGAAAAATTCCTCTTCTCTGTCTTATAAAAAATCAAAAAAAGTTCAAAATTGAACTAATAGTCAAGCAATATCAGATGAATTTCACTCTAAATTTTCACAACTAAAGCTCAAGCTATCGTGAAAATATAACTTCAAACTAAAAGATTTTTTTCGTACCATCTAATCAAGTAACCGGTGCCCATGATAAATAGTTTTATTGTTTATCTTTTTTTTCTCAATTTCTAATATGTTTCTTGAAAAAAATATATCAGAAGGTGGAGCGTGAGAAGATCTAAAATCCACAATAGAAAGCTTATTTTATATATGATCTTTTAGTGTTCAAAATGGATGAAAATGAGGAAAAGAGAAAATAAAGAAAAAAAGAATTCATCATGTATAAAAAATAACTTTTTCGCTACATCAGAATTCACTCACTTCGAAATCTGCTGATTTTGAATACTAAGAGACCATATATAAAATAAGCTTTTTATTGTAGATCTTTTGACGCTCTATCTTCTAATATATTTTTTTGCAACAAACATATTAGAAACAGAGAAGAAAAGATACAAAATGCGACCGTTTATCGTCGGCATCCGGTTACTTAATTAGATGATGCAAAAAAAATCTTTTAGTTTGCTGTTATATGTCTTCACTATCAATTAAGCTATTGTTGTAAACATTTAGATTGATACTCATTTGGTACTGCTTGACTATCAGTCCAATTTTGACTCTTTTTTATTTGTTATAAGAGAGAAAAGAAATTTTTCTATAAGATACCAAAACTTTTAGACAAACCTTCATCTATCTATGTATATATTATTGGGAGCGGAATTATAGTGGTGATTTTTGCTGAGATTTGTCATGGACTTCATGTCTTCTTTGGCTTCATCATAACAATACAAAATACGCAAATTGAATAATATCTAACAGATAATAGTTGCTTTTCAAGAATAATTGATCCTTAGAGAATCGATCTGTCTTATTTATTTCTGCGTTTCTAACAGAGTTTTTTCTGTTATTTTTTACTGGCCCTTCATTATTTATTTGTGTTGTTGTCATTCGCTTGCGACTTATTTTTTTATTTGTTTTTCTTAATTTACTATTATTATTACTATTATTTTTGTTCTTGTTCTAACCAATGATTTATTTGGGAAATTAACCTGTTGTACATCTTCATTGGATCTGCGGCAAGTCTCAATGCACTACTATGGACTTTGATAAACTTATCAAATACTGGTTTTGATGGTCCTCTCAAGTTAGAATTTGATCAATTAATACTTTTTGTATTGCTCATATGACGATCGTAGTAAATAAATATATCACCAGTTATCATCCATCTTTGATATGTATCATATACTCGTTAATTTGAGCAAAAATCAGAAACCGTACTATATATAACATTCAAAAACATAGTTCAGCCATTTAAATTTCAAGGAAAGCTTTGAAATGTTCTAGAACAATTTGATCCGTATTTGTTAACATCGTTCAGCGTCCTTGTTCGTTGCTAAGGAATCATGGAAAAGGAGTCTGGTGCTTGTTATATGTCGGTTACTATAGCACAATTTGTGCCCAGCACTCTTTAACCTTCGACCACGGCTGCTAAGGCCTGTAATGAGGGAATCGAGGGAAGATGAGCCTGAAAATCTCGCATTTAAACTTATACTTATTATGTTTATTCGAAAAATATATGTGAATTGCACAAAACATGTTGTTCATTGAATTGTACGGTTATCGTAGCCGTATACGACCAGGTACGATCGTGCACGGTGATATACGACCGTATACGGAGCACAGATATTCATCTTATAATCATTCCGTATTTTTGTACTGTCTCCGTTTACGGAATCCGTCTCTCATCGTATCGCTCCATATACGGAAGCCGAGCACGACCTCCGTATATCTCCGTTTTTTTCCGTAAACGACCGTTTACGAGCGTGCATGTTCGACCTGGGTATAGGGATATGCAGTTTCAGTATACTGATCACCGACAAAGTCACACTGACGTTCACCGACGCAGTGACGGCACCGGCACTGATGTTCACCGACGCAGTGACTGTACCGGCACTGATGTTCACCGACGCAGTGACTGTACCGGCACTGATGTTCACCGACGCAGTGACTGCACTGACACTGATGTTCACTGCACTGTAAAAAATTGCAGTTAGAGCAAGATTTATTATTCTACCTTTTTTTATACAGTACAGTGCAGTCAGTACCAGTGTAGTCATTGGTTCAGTGAACATCAGTGCCAGTGCAGTCACTGCGACGGTGAACATCAGTGCCGGTACAGTCACTGCGACGGTGAACATCAGTGCCGGTACAGTCACTGCGTCGGTGAACGTCAGTGTCAGTGTAGCACTGTCGGTATTTCAGTATTTGCACTGAAACTGCACATCCCTACCTGGGTATGTCAAAGGTTTATTTTTCATCTCAAAGGTGTGGGTGTGGGT